GTCATTGTCATTGTCACTGTCATTATCATTGTTGTCGTCTTCATCGTCGTTGTCGACATGGTTGTCCTTGTTGTAGTTGTCGTCGTCGTTGTGATTGTTGTCATCATCATCATTATTGTTATCATTGTTATCGTCGTTGTTGTTGTTGTCGCCATCATTGTCATTGTCGTTGTTGTCTTCGTTGTTGTCCTCGTCTTCGTCTTCGACATCATTGTTTTCATAGTCATTGTCCTCGTCATTCTCATTGTCGTCGTCATCATCATCGTCATCGTCGTCGACGTCATAGTCATCATCATTGTTCTCGTTGTTGTTGTTGAAGTTTTCCTTGTCATTATTGTAGTCTTTATCGTCCTCATCATCATCATCATCATTGTCTTCATCGTCCTTCTTGTCATCATCGTCCTCCTTATCATCCTTCTCATCGTCGTCGTCTTCTCCGTAGTCGTCGTCGTTGTCGTCATCGTTGTCATTGTTGTTGTTGTTGTTATATTTTTAATTCTAATAAAATTATGTATGTAATTGTCATTCTGTACTCAATTTATGATTATATTTATTATTATAAATTTTATACGATTTTATCTGTCATGACTGGGGTCTCCCTATCCAAAACTGTCGTCGTTGACCTCTGAGAGATCGCAAACAAGCCTATTTACGTCGTCATTACATTCAATAGGTTAATTTTAGCTACAAATATGAAACATCTTGTTTTGTTTGAAGTGTATATAGAATTCATAGTTACAACATGCATATGCGTATAAAGAAGTCCATTGCTCATGTGTATCAACCATCTAATAAAGGATCATTCCATTTTAAAATAAAAGTCTTATAGAAAAAGTAACAATTGCCAAGTGAGTTGGACTTGCCAAATAAGATTAGGGAAGTCATACTATGAGTGTAACATCCATCATCAATCTTTTCATATTGCACACAACATATATCATATTTCATATAGAACATACATATATTACATATCATTCGTTCATATGTCATAAGACCTTAGAATTACAGAGTTAACATTACGACTTCCCAAAATGAGTGCTAAAAATTTGGGACCTCAACTAGGGAGCCTCCTTTAGCAAACACAGAGTCTTCTCAATTCATTTATACACACTTCATTTTGATTCGTTCGTATCCCAGTTTGAACACTAGCTATACCTATGATGTTGTTTAAGAATCTCATCGTGTTCACTGTGTAATTACCAAAATTGATATAGTGTCACTACTTCAGTCTAGTTCACCTCTTGATTATCCTATCCTAACATCTTTGATATCATTCATTTCATTATCTTTCATACATTGAGAAACATCAACTTTAACCTACATAGATCAAGTGAGCATCATAAAATCCGATGTCTTCACCACATTGAAAAGAGGTGGGGTCACTGGCCAAGGTGAAACCAAAACATCCCTAGCTCACTTAGATGGAAAACCACTAGCTAGTTCCCTAGGCTAGCAGCATAGTTTAAAGGCTAGGAGATTTAGGGAGATTCATACCCACCTTGGTTGAAAGTTTCATCTTATGAGAATTATGTGAATCTACGCCCTTCTCGAAAGAAGGCATCACTACTCATGTCTAGCCTATTGATGCTTCTTTTAAAGTTCCTATTTATATTCAACTCATACATCATTCAAGCTTAATTCTAGGATGAGGTAGTCATAGCTCATTAGATTATTTCTCATCTCTTGTTTACATATTATGTATTAATTGTCCTTACACTTACATATAGAGTGTGATTGAGACTTGTCTCTTAATATTCATCACTCTCTTAGGTGAGTACTTTTGGTGACCTTTTATTGGCATAGGTACAACTTATCTCACTTGCACTATCCTCATATTGTGGTGTCACCCTTTCTTAATATCTTTCCATTTCATCTTTACTCACCTTTCATTATTTGTTCATCGTATAACATACATACTCTTTTGGAATTTACATTGAGGGACATTGATTCTAGGCGTAGATACAACTTTCCTCACTTGTTCTAGCCTATCATCATGTAGCCACTCTTTCTTTGCTTATTAATTATTTATCATAAATATACTCTCTTAGAAATTTAATTTAGTGACATTTATTTTTAGGCGTAGACGCAACTTGTCTCACTTGCACTAGTCTATAGTCATGTTGTCACTATTTTTATTAGCATCATAGTATAAAATAATTACTCACTTTATTACATGAATTTTTATTTTGTCATATGCCAATGCACTTGGCCTTTTAGTGTGTTTCACATTCTTACTTAACCTTATGATGGCCACATCATTACATCACATACATCTTAGGTTCACTCATTTTTAAATGTACGTTGAACTTATAAATCCATACGTAATATCCATGATCCTTCGTTCATAATTCGCCTAAGTGATTCATACTTATTCAAGATTGTATGGTACATGACTTATGCATTTTGTAGGTATACCAAGGTCTCGATTTTGATTCCTATAGGCATCTTTCATTATGTATTTATTCACGTAAGACTTATGCATCATGACGGAATGGGGCATAGGAACCCGATTTAAAATCCTTTTATACAACATAATCTTGTATTAAATTTTGATTTATAATTTCAGCTTGGGGACCCTAGTTTTAATCCCATCGCCTACATTTTTTTTCTTAGTTTTTTCTCCTTGACTTTTATGTTTTAGGCCGAGCATATGTGGGATTTATCTCCCACAAACTCATTTTATTTTCCCGTTGTTTATCTCATAATTTTCTCACCTGTGAGAGTGGTTGTGGGTTCGACCCCCACATACCTAATTTTATTTTATTTTTTAATTTTTCTCCTCTCTCCCTCACCTATCCGAGATGTTGTGGGGTCAATCCCCACACCATTCATTTTATTTTTCTTTCATTTTTCTCCTAACTCTTCACTTGAGCCTTACCCCATCTCGAATCCCCCTTAGCTCATTTTTCTTATTGAATATTTTTATATCTTGCATATGGGGAGGTCTTGGGTGCAATCTCCTATGACCTCATACATTTTAATTTTTTTAAAAAACTCAAAATTTTTCCAGTATTCTTGGCCGGACCAAATTTTCAGCAAATCTGGAAATTTGATCGGACTTTCTGGTCCATTTACTCAACATTTTGTACGTTATTTTTTTTGAAAATTCGTTGGACATTTCATACGTTTATTTTTTGCATTTTCTTGGTTACATTTGATCAAGATTTTCACTCAATCAAACAACAATACACCACTTATGAACATCACAGTTTACTTCTAGTAATTGCATACAAAACATAAGAATTCAACATGCATATTGCACACTTCAACTCATGAACAAAGCCACGGCATACACAATGCACACACACACATTTAACACATAGTTTCGGAAAGCATGCTTATTACTTCCATAAAACCGAAAATAATAATCACGAAAATACATCACTTCTCTAAATTCTACCAGCAAAACAAACCAAACCTACAACTTCGATGTGATCTATGACATGGACATGCATAGCGGAATATTCCTAGTTTTCGGTTTAAAATTATACTTAGACTAAGGGGTCTCTTGGGAAAGGACCAAGTAGAAGAAAACCCATAGCTTTTCTCGTCATTTGAAACCTTTCAAATTTGATCTCAACTGCTGCAAACTCTCATAAAAAACAAATGCTTCTCCAACAAAACTCACGCGCAAAGTGTTTGAAAAATGCTTTTTCTTTTTGGTTTTACTTAGTTTTTCTTTTTTGAGTTTTTGTGTGCAAGGTCTTCAAGTGATGAAATTTGATGTTTTTGTTCGTTTCATTTATGAATAACGCGAGAAGAGAGTGGAGAAAGCTTTAGAATAAAAGTTGAGAGAGAAGAGAATAAGTGTAGGAGTTTTAGTCAAAGACTTAGTCAAACTAGGACATCTAGGTACGCTTAGGCATTTCATAGAATAGTGTTTTTCAGGTTGTTACATTATGCCCCCCCCCCCCTCTTAAGAACATTTGTCCCCGAAAGACGCTACTCTTTACTAGCAACAAGTAAGTCATCTATAGCACATATGCATACATAGGCAATTCAATTCTCTTCATTGGTGAATATCCGATTCACATATTAACATGATGGTGTACATATTTGAAACCAAGTAGCAGCTTCACATTAATAGACTAAGGAACTTTTTCCAAAAAAAGTCTCGTCCGAGCATACAACAGCAGTAAACATGTAAGTCACACAAATCAGGAAACAACATGATGACTCAAACATATTAACCTCATACTAGTGCATTAAAACCATATATAGGCAAACACATGAAAGACTAATTAAGGCTACGCACCAAACACATCACCAGAAGAGCCTTCCCATGCACCCTAGACATTGAGTGGGAAGAATCGATGCCTCCCTGGAGCCTCTTCACTTTTACTATTACGCTGAACTTTCTCCTTCCCTTTTCTTGACCTCTCTTATTCAGACAATCCATCATCATGTGACTCGATTTGCCACAACAGTAACAAGCATTAGAGCCCATCATAAAATCTCCTCCATCAAGTTTGCCACACTTCCTACACGGTGGCCTCTCCTGAGGTGTATCTACATTATTGTTTCTCTTATCTCTGAGCTCTCATCTTTCTAAAACACTAGAGTTAATGATAGATACGATCTTAACACCAAGAAATCAAAATCTTATTAGGCACGATAAGACTAGAAGTAGGGAAAATTTCGTAAGCATTATGAAGTCTCTAATTCATAATAGTGGTGCACTTCAGTACCATAGCTTAGAAACTACTTAACGTAATTGATATGAGCCTTATGTCTTAGATATTTAACCTGGATCTTATACCAAGTTTGTGTCATCTATTTGGTCTATACCCAAGCCGAAACCGGCGTCGTTGACCTCTCAGAGGTCGCAGAAAAGCCTACTTACGTCGTCATTACATTTTTTTAAGTTAATTTTAGCAGAAAATTTGAAACATTATGCTTTGTTTTAACCGTACATAGACTTCATAGTTGTAACATGTATATGTGTATAAAGAAATTCATTACTCGTGTGTATCAACTATCTAATTAAGAATCATTCAATATTGAAATAATAGTCTTATAGCATAAGTAATAATTGCCAAAATGGCACCATTACATAAGTTCGAACAAAATAGGAAATAAATAGTAGTGGAACATGCTCCACTAGCCTAAACCTATTACTAATCTAGAAAAAATAACGGAAGGCATCCTTTAATGCATGAGGACCTACAAAGTCCAGATGGAAAGCTCTGTTGTCCGAACAGCTGCAATAAATGTCTTCAACACCCTCCTGAACTTGCACCTAAAATAGTATAATGTATGGGATTAGTATACACTTCTACTGAGTATAGGTGTATGAAATTACCCACCAAGGACATGCATGATTGAGAAGAGCTCCCTCCTAACGATATAAATTATGTTAAGCCAAGTCAGCTACACTTGCCAAATAAGATTAGGAAAGTCATGCTATGAGAGTAACATCCATCATAATTCTTTTCATATTGAATACAAAACATAAAATATTTCATATAGTACATATATATATTACATATAATTTGTTCATATGCCATGAGAGATTGGAATCACGGACATAACATTATGACTTTCCAAAATGAGGGCTCAACATATGGGACCTCAACTAGAGAGTATTCTTCAGAAAACACAAAGTTTGATTCATTCATTCATATGTACTTTATTTTCATTCATTCGTAGAACAGTGTTAACACAACCTATACCTTGGATGTTGTTTAATACTCTCATCGGATTCACTGTGCAATGACCAAGAATGACCTAGTGTTACTTGAGTCTAGTTCACCTCTTTCTTATCCAAACCTAACACCTTCAGCACCATTAATTTAGTTATCTTTCATACTTTTAGGAAATTCAACTTTAACCGACATAGATCATGAGAGCATCATGAAAATCGGTGTCTTCCCCACACCAAAAAGAGGTGGAATCATTGGCCAAGGTGAAACTAAAACATCCCTAGCTTTCTTAGGTGGAAAACCACTAGCTAGTTCCTTATGTTTGCAGCATAGGTGAAAGACCAGGAGATTTGGGGAGACCCATACCGACCATAGTGGACAGTCTCATCTCATTAGAATTACGTGAACCTCCGCCCTTACTGAAAGAAGGCCTCATCATTCATAGCTAGCATATCTGTGCTCCATTTAATATTTCAATTTACATTCAACTCATAAATCATCGAAGCTTGCTTCTAGCATAAGGTAGTCATTACTCATAAGATGACTTATCATCTCTTCTTTACGTATTAAATGTGAATTTTCCTTACACTTACATATAGCGTGTGACTGACACTTGTCTCTTAATATTCAACACTCTCTTACATGAGTACTCTTGGTGACCTTATATTGGCATAGGTACAACTTGTCTCACTTGAACTAGACTTATATTCTGTTGTCAGCTTGTTTTTTCTGAACATCTCTTCATTTAGTCGTTACTCACCTTTCGTTATTTGTTCATCGTATAACATACATATGCTCTCTTGGAATTTACATTGAGGGACATTGATTTTGGGCATAGATACAACTTGTCTCACTTGTACTAGCCTATCATCATATAGCCACTCAGTCTTTGCTTATTTATCCTTTAGCATAAATATACTCTCTTACATATTTCATTTAGCGAAATATGCTTTTAGGCGTAGATGCAGCTTGTCTCACTTGCACTAGCCCATAGTCATGTTGTCACTCTTTTCATTACCATTATAGTATAACATAATTACTCACATTATAATACAAATATTCATGTCGTCATATGACAATGCACTTGGTGTTTTAATGTTTTTAACATTCCTACTTAACCCTCCAAGGGTTATATAATTTCATCGCATACATCTTAGGTTCACTTATTTTTAAACATACGCTGCACTTATGAATCCATACATACAATCCATGAGGCTACGTTCATAATTTGTCAAAGTGATTCATACTTACCCAAGATCATATAGTACAAAACTTATGCATCTGGTTGTTATGACAATGTCTTAGCTTTGAATCCTACAGGCAGCTTTCATTAAGTATTTATTCATGTATAGCTTATGCATCAATACAAAATTTTGAAAGGTAATCCGATATCAAATATCTTGAGCAACACGTAGAGTTATATTAAATTTTTATTTAAAATTTCAGCTTGCGGACCCATGTTCTAATCAAAACACCTACATTTCTTTTCTTACTTTTCTCTCTTTGGCTTTTCTTTTTTAGGCCGAGAGAATGTCAGATCGATCCCCCAAAACTTTATTGCATTTTCCTTTAGTTTTTCTCCTAATTTCCTCACCTTTCCGAGAGGTTGTGGGTTCGATACCCACATACCTAATTTTATTTTATTTTTTGCATTTTTCTTCTTTCTCCTTCACCAATCCGAGAGGTTGTGGGTTCGATCCCCACCCCACTCATTTTATTTTTCTTTCATTTCTCTCTTAATTCTTCACTTGAGCATTACCCCATTTCGAATTCCCATTACCTCATTTTTATTATTGAATTTTTTTATAGCTTGCATATGGTTAGGTCTTGAGTTCAATCCCTAATGACCTCATACATTTTAAATTTTTATTAAAACTCAAAATTTTTCCAGTTACTTGGCCGAACCAAATTTCCAGCAAACCTGGAAATTTGATCACACTTTCAACATTTTATACATTAGATTTTTGGATATTTCCTACATTTATTTTGTGCATTTTCATGGTTACATTTGATCAAGATTCACTCAATTCAGCAACATTACACCACTTATGAACATCATGATTTACTTCCAGTAATTGCATACAAAACACAAGAATTAAATATGCATATTACACACTTCAACCCATGACCAAAGCCATGGCGTAAACAATGCACACACACACGTTTAACACATAGTCTCGGAGATCATGCTTATTACATTCATAAATCCGAGCATACATAATTTAACATAATCATCATGAAAACACATCACATCTCTATATTCTAACAGTAAAACATACCCAAAGTACAAATTCGATGGGATCTAGTGACAGGGACGTGCAAAGGGTAACATTCCTAGTTTTAGGATTAAAATTTGACTGAAACATAGGGGTCTCTTGGGAAAAGACTAAGAGGAAAAAAACCCATACCTTTTATGGTGATTTAAAAAATTTCAAATCTGATCTCAAGTGCTGCAAACTTCCACAAAACACAACTGCTTCTCCAACTAAACACACACGCAAACCATTTGAAAGATGCTTTCTCTTTTAGTTTTTAGTTAATTTTTCTTTTAAGTTTTTGTGTGCAAGTTCATCAAGTGATGAAATTTGAATTTTTTTCTTTTTGTTGATAAATAACGTGAGAAGAAAGTGGAGAAAGTCTTGATAATGAGCGTGGAGAGAGATGAGAGTAAATGTAGGTGTTTGAGTTGAAGACTTAGTCAAACTAGGACTCCTTGTTACTTATTAATTATAGTTATCATTTTTTTAAGGTTTAGGTGAAATTACTCATAATGCACTTACTTACATTAGATAATTAATAATAAATTATTCAATTGAACAATGCTTCAACCAATGATTGAACCCGGGTGAAGCTTAACTTGCCAAAAAAGTCAAATTCAGCCAAACCTACCAAAATTGACCACTTTATTATATTAATTAATTATTTAGATAAAAACTTAGGATAATTACAATACGACATGTATCCTTGAAAAAACCATTTTACCCCTAAACCCTCCAAACCTAAGATTATCCCTTTCATGTCCGGTAAAAACTCATCTGGATGAATCTCTTCAATTCGGGTTCCATACATGGTTGGTTCCAACCTTTCATAGCTCAACTAACTCAATAAGTTGGTTGTTTTGTCTAGTGCAAAGGTTCTGAGGTCGGGTTCCATTTTGAACAAGTCGTGTGAACCCGGTCTTATTTAGGCATACTTGGTACATTTACGCATTTTTTAGCATAATCATTTTCAGGTTCTTACTTTATCAATACCATCTTAATATTTTAATATTTAAATAATAGAACTGAATAAAATCATCAATCGCTTTAAGAAAAATTGGTGAAATTATACTAATTTTAGCCAAAATTCACATCTAATTTAGACTTACAAGTTGATCCAATTCATGACTTATTAGAAAACTCAAAGCATAACCCAATTGATCCTCGTAAACTTTGCCTTTTATTCTCTTTAAACCAGTTTCCCAATATTACTTTTCACTAAGCCCTAATTTATTTTTACTTTCTTCAACCGCTGCCCAACTATCCATATCTCTCCTATACAACCAAAAGCCTGAACAACTCTTCAAATTAGTTGTTTCTTGTTGTCATTTCTTCATTTATTTTTTCATTTTCTTCTATTTTTTTTTTCATTTATTGATTCACTATGAAATTTTGAATAAATATACATAAATCTCAGAGGATGTTTCCTTAACAATCGTCGAGAAAAGGAATAAAGAATAAAATATACAAAATATGATTGAAGTTATTTAAATATCAGTTAAATGGGTTAACTCTATTTATTTTCTCATTGAATGTTAAGTTATTTGATTTTTCTTTGTATGATTTATATTAACAATATTTTTTTGATTTTTATTGAAATGGAAAATGAGGAAGGAGATTACAATGTCGGGAATCGAACGCTCAATAACAAGTTTTCAGGTAGTCAACCAACTTAACTACTAAAATTCACCTTGTTATCATACATTTAGTAATTTTTCCCCTTTTATGTTTTCCTTTTCATATTTTTTTTAACTAATCTTGTGTTTGTTCTCAATTTTAAAAATCTTATTTTTAAATTTGTACTTATACACGAAGTTATTGAATTGATATTCCATTAGTGTCACATTTACAAAGTTATAACAATAGATTTTAATTCTTATTGAATTTTTATTGTTCATCATATATTCCCCTATCCGAAATGTTGAAAATATAGCAATGTTCCTATGATACTTAAAACAAAAACTTCGGCAGACTTGGTACGAATAACAACGTTTAAAGAGTATTTAAAAAATTAGAAAATTAAAGCAGTATAAAAAATAGAATAAAAAATTAAACAAAAATAATATACAAAATATTTTTCTCAAAGAAGAAAATAGAATCCATTTAATGCACAATGTCTTCTTCACGAAATTACTCTTTCGAACTACCCAAGGGTAATTGAATTTATTCTCCCCATGATAGAATGATCTTTCTCACAAGAATATTGGTACTTATATTAATGATGTCATTGAAAAAGTCAATGGCAATATATCCTCCCCACGATAAAATTGATCTTACTCACCAAAGTATTGGGAATTATATGAATATATCATTGAAAAACACAATGTTAGTAAAGTACTCTTAGAAGACTAGATTGAGTTGGTTATATATAGAAAACTTCTACAATATAGAGAACAAAAAGAAGAAACAATGAAATAAGTACATACACAAAAACTCGAAATAGTCCAAAGAACATGACACTTTTAACATAACAATGAATGTAATATATTTCTATTTGGATAATTTTTTTTAAAAAAAATCTACGATCCTATAGGCTTAAGTTACCCAAATTGAATAAAAATTAAAGGACATACAAGAACTTATGATGCCTTGCAATTTAAAAAAAATTTATCCAAAGTAAACAAGAGGTTCAACATAACTATAAATTTCATTGGTTTTGTTTTCTTTTGGAAAATCCTTGATTTAGACTTCCCTCCTACTTTTTCTTATGACATTATAAGAGAAAGAACTGACAACACTTGCACTTATGTACATGAAAAATACAATCTCTCCACTACTAGGAGTGTAGAATGATAAACTATATATTTTTCATCAGTCCGTATCAAGATAAAATGAATGATGTTTCTCTCCCATTATTTTCTTGGAGTCTGCTATAAAATCTACGTGTACAAGTATCCACTTTGTCTACTTTCAGTATCATAATCTATGGCTGCTAATTTACCTCTCACCCGATCAGCTCATGATAGTGCAACCCAAATGCTTACTACAACCGTTCATTACAGACTCATAGATGAACTGATAGATAACTCCACTAATGCAAATATTAGGACTACTAGACGGAACACAAGAGAAAATGCTTTTACTGTTTCACAATGGTTTGCCTATTCTAGAGTGAAAATCCAATATTTTCTCCATCTTGAGCATGATATTCTGCTGAGATAACTTTGTACTTTGTTTCCTGTGGCCAAAAAACTAACGAATAGTTCCATCAAGGAATATGTTTATATGTATTGGGAAGAAATGTTACTTCTTTTGTGCTGGGATTGGAAGTTAGTAGAGAGGATTTTCTCCAATAACAACATAAACCATAAACACATGAACTTTAATGACAATATGTAGGGTATGATTGTGGATTTTATGAAATTTTTCAACTTGAAGAAGTGAGACAAAGGCTTTTCCACCTTTCTTTTCCTCCGCGGTGTTATAAAGTGCTTCTCCTTTCCGAACGAATTTCGTCCCGGTAGAACATCATCAATGGATATCAAAAAAATCTAATTTTGATTCAATAAAATTACACAATTTGGAAACACATTTTAAAGGCATTAAGGAAATGAGAGGAAGCCATGATAATATTTTAAATATTATATCGTAAGGTATTTTTCTGGAAGAATTCATAATGTTTATTTTCTTTTGGCCTCTTATTGATGTCCTCTTTTGCTCTCTAGTTCCTTGTATAACTCTATCTGTTCCTAGTTTTAAAATCTTAAAAACATAACAACTAGAAATGCTAAAAAGTGAACTTCTTTTTTGTTTTAAAATTCTAAAGACAATATTATTGCAAAAGAGTTTAATTGTTTTTTTTAAAAAAAAAAATCTAAACAGAAATTGTAGGAAAAAGATAAATTGAGCAGGGCAGGATTTCATTAGTTTTTTTGGACTACGAGGTGCAACTCTTGTTTGTTTCTTCAATACCATAAAAAAAACATCAAATCTGTGTACAAGAAGATGAATCCAACAATTCCCGAAGAAATAGTCATTCAAATATGGCATAATACATATATTGGATTCTAAACTTGTATTCAAATTTTAACTTTGACCTCCAACATTCATAATGCACAAGTAGAGACTTTAACTATCCAACTTATAAACAAATAAACACATGAGTCGTACATAGCACAATACACGAAGGATACCAAGTAGGACAAAAAATCACATATATGCTGACATATCGTACATGTGTTATTTGTTCAAATTTATACAAGTTTAAGTGTCTACTTGTGCACACCCAAAGTTTAAGGGCATAAATGTCATTCGAAGCCAAGTTAAAGGACACATTTATGAATTATGCTTATCAAATAGTGACATGGCTTCATGTCAAATCACTAACGTGTTTCAAGTGCGTACTAAGTTCTTAAATTCTTTTGTTTTTGCTTCATTTACTGATATCCATACATCTCATTCTATGATCCGTCTAGGTAGAAAAAAATACTTCTTGAACAGAAGGGAATTTTATTGCATCGCTGATCAGCTAAAGGAATATGGAAAAAGCTCTGTTTCCAGACTTGTTCGAATTCAGAGTTTTGTTGAATTCCCCTTCTATGCTCCTATATGTTTTGTTATTAGTTGCCTTAACGACTTATTTTTCATTGAAAAACCTGCTACAAATTTAAATCCCAGTACAGGAGAGGTAAGATATCTTCCCCAGTAAATGATGATAAGATTCTCTTTCACTATTGGTTAGGTTTTGAGCTAGAAAAAAATAAGTACAAAGTTCTTTTGACATGAGATGGTAGCGGATTGTACATTAAACAATGTGTTTTTACATTCGGCATTGACAAATCATGGAAAAAGACACAAAGGATTTCCAAATCATTTTCGTACAATCCTGGGGTTTGCATCAATAGAGTTAACTATAGGTTTGTTTTCAATGGAGGAACACTTCCTGTAGATGCATTTGATCTTAATACTGTAAGTTTCAAACTTATGGTATTGAAGAATTCATCTAAGTGGTGGTATTACGAGTTGATAGAGGTGAGGGGTAATCTAGCAATAATTATTTGTCCAAAGTGGTCATGTTGATATATTCACTTGAGGGTTTTAGGAAAAATTCAGAAATAAGAAGAATGGGAGAGTCATATCATTCACTATCGTACAATGTGGAAGCAAATACCACCAAAAATCATACTCCATGTCGTATTATCATGCATGTTTTGTGATGGGGAGGTTTTATTCATCATCAACTTAGAGTCAGGTGCGTTATTCTCGAGTTATGATGTCACAAGATAGAGTTGGAGAACATTAGAAATAAAGGGGCTTCCTACGAACTACCACATCAGAAGCATTTATAATTATAGAGAAAGACTAGTTATGTAGAAATTAAGTCTCTTCTATTTTAGAATTTTTTGCAATTCTTATATTATTTTTATGGCATAATACATATATTGAACCCTAAACTTGACTTCAAATTTTAATTTTGACCTCCAACTTTCATAGTGCACAAACAAGCATTTTAACTATCCAACCTTTTAATAAATAAGCATGTGAGTCCTACCAGGAGAAACACGTGATGTGCACATAGTTTTAGCTAGTTAGGAGTAATTTTCGAGGCCCACAACAGTAAAAAAAATTATTAAATGACAATTCTACCCTTAATGAATCTCTTATATATATTTTTTATATTTCCAAATCAATATCTTATTTTATTTTTGTTTAATTCTAAAATGGCCATGTAA